ATATCTAAATATTTAGCTTTTCACCGTTTTCCTTTTGTGCATCACTTTAATTATTTATAGATGGATCGTCTTTTTGATTTAGTTTGGAAAAGGAAAGTATTTAGACGAATAAAGGTTATATTAGAGGAAATATTTATTCAGTAGTTATATTTGCATTTTATTAAATAACACTTTTAGTTTAAAGCGTTTTTGAAGAATAAATGTATTATTTAAAATCGAAATTTATCACTTTGCGTTCAGTAGTTAGTTCTTACATTTAAATCGTAAAACGATAACCCATTTCTTAACTGATTATTGTTTCGCCTCTTTTCTTGCCACGTAAAGCTTTGCAGATGTCAGAAGAATCCATTTAACTCTTTACAAGGTTGCAGAAACTATTGAGCTTTTGAGAGGAGAAAACAGAAATTTCCCGGATTCGAATCGAGGATTTTCCAGTTTCGTAGCTGGATATACTAAAACCATATAGCATGAGAGCACACGGGAATGTCATGATTCCGCGCATTCTCCTCTCCATTTAAAGAGCCGCGCCCTAGTCAACGAAATTTGAGTGGTGATGAATTATTGTCTGCTACATTTTATTTTCGCCAATGCAAATACTTATCATGCATTTCGTAAAGGAAGCTATGAAGTGGGTAGGATTGTAATAACGGACTTTCCGGGTTTCTAATTCGACTCCTAACCACTTACACCGCGAAAGCAGCCACGAGGAAAAGCGGTAAATTTTTTATCAGTTCATCCTTGTTTTTCATTATCTTTAAAAAATTAAATGTACATATCGTCTTTATAGTATTCAAATGCGTACTATTAAATAAAATCCAACTCCGATTTTACGCTATCTTTAGTCAGGCCCGTAATATTCGTAAAACAATGGGAAAATTATAATTTATTAAAGTTATTTTAAAGTAATGATTTCGTGATGTGTGAACTTAAAATCATAAATGACCTGTCTAGCATTGATAAGTACAACAATTATCATAGCCGTTTATGATATATATATCGTATTTAAAATTTCATCAAGTCGATTCTTCGACTTAAACACAATTCTTATTCACTGCGATTCTCAATAGACCTTTAACATTCGTTAAATATTTTCTTTGACTCAGTCCTTTGTTCTTTTACAAAAGATAAGCTTATGAAAAAGCATTTTCATTCGTTATAAATGTTATTTTCCAGCATTGAATTAATTATGATTATTATATGAAGCTTGCATTAAACAATGCATTCAGAAAATGTTTCAAATATCATTTCAATAAATGGGCGTGTCTTGTAATTTTCGATGAACAACATTTAAATGCATCATTTTAAAACATACTATACTGAATGAAAATCACGAGCGTAATAAGCTTAGGAGGCTTATTAAATTGCAATTTTGCTTTATTAATTAAGAACCACCACTCCTCTCTAAATTACCTGACTCGTTGGAAAAATGCAATTAAAAACAACATCTCAAAACTTAAATATTAAAATACGCGATTGCTTTCCAAAATATCCCCTTGGTACTTATAAAAGGAAAAGCTGAAACCAAATTTCATTCGGATGGAGGAGGAAAAAAAGGAAGAATCGCTTTTCCATTGTCATCGACACTGACGCTCCAAAATGAAATGAAATGATTTGCATAAATCTAAGCTTGATTACTTCGTATATTTGTTACTTTTGGTTATTAGTCTTTTGCGGCTGACGGGAAGGTATACTTGACTCTCTCAGCTGTCTGTATTTGTTTGGTTGAATTTTTTCTTCGTACATTAAGCTACTGCAAAGTCTTAATTAACTTACCATGTTATTAATCAAGTATTTTTGAATTTTTAAGCAGGCCGTGTTTACAACGCCATCGGGTCATTAACTATTAATTACGAAACTTAACCGCATAGGCGAGCAGAAGAATTTCAATTCGGTTCGAACCTCCTAAGATTTAAGCTTATGACAAAATGCGATGCAGTGAAAGATTTTTATTTGGTCTAATTCTTTGTGATCTGCCATATCCTTTTCGCAATTATAGCGCACACAAGTCCAAGATTTTTTCCCCTTCCAACAACAGCCATTCTTTTTACCCAGTGAAATTTGCATAATAACTCCCAGATATGGTATGAGGTGGTGTGGGAAAAATTGTTTAGCTCTTAATTAATACGCGAATTCTAATGTGTGCAATGTTGTCTCTTAATGAGCGAACAGCCTTTGATTAATATATCTTTACACATGTTTAACAATCACTTTTCTTTGGTGGGAATCTCCTGGGATCTTATTTTAATGAAATAAATGAATAAAAAGTTTCAATAGAAACGCATAAATGCTTATTTCCAGTACATTAATAGTCTCAGGATCTATGGCTTAATTTTCGAGTTGTATTTTACTGAGCTCCATTTTTCTTTTTATCTATTTTCACAAAGGGTAAAATTTAGGTAATTTCAGATATTTAGTAATAAGATTTTCAATAGAAATCTGATTACCATAAAAATCCTGCATAAATTTTCCGTTTTTCTAATACATTTTACTCCTGCTTTTGCCCGTGATTCAATTTTATAAGTTTTTTACTAACTGTCAGTTTGTATTTTCTTTTAAAAATAATTGCAGATTGGAAATAAACATTTTAATCGAGGAACTTTCGTTATCAGTTTTATCAGTTTTGAAAGAATAATGGCAAGACAAGAATTTGAAAGAGTGAAGACTTTGGATAAAGCAAGGAAGATTTTAAAACAATGAAGACATTTACCAGCATCTCTCTTATTACATATATTGCCACAGTAGACTCCCAATTAACCGAGGGCGAATTAAACGGGCCTCATCTTTAAAAACAAAATATTTAAGTTGGTTTATTGCAGAGAGATGGGAAAATTTCAATCGCAAACGAAACAACTTGCTGTGAACTGCTTGCGGAAAATAGAAAAAGGAAAAGAAGAAACGTGTGGAAAAACAGCTATGATAACAGATGATGTTATGGTGTTTGGGACTTAACTGCTCGTAATGCGAAATATATAAACATTTTTCAATCATATGTTAAGAGTAAACTTTTGAATCATAATAATAAATCGTACACTTACTTTTGCATATCAGGTTGACTTAGGGAATTATTGAAAGGGATTTTATTCTTTCAAATTTTATAAAAACCCCTCCAACTATTCACATAAACTTTCGCTTTGATTGTTTCACTGTCGAGTTATTGCGGTGATCAATGATTTCATTTCAAGAAATTTTTCTTTGTTGTTGCTTTCGCGATTCACAGGTACGGGTGGAAGCTAAGTAAGCACCTCCATAGTACCATAGGTACACTGGGTTATCATAAATTAAGGAAAAATCACAAAAATAGCGATAACTCCCTCAAAAATAAGCCAAACCGTGTAAAATTTGAATATGTTGCCAAGTAGAGTAGCTGAGTAAAACTGCAATATGCAATTAGTGGCGCTGCACTCTGAATACGTCATCTGCGAGAAGAATAAAAGTCCATGTTTGAGAGCAAGCCCACATATTTCACTGTGATAGTGACATCAGAAATCTGAGATAGCCAATTCGTAACAATGACCTCCAGGTATCATTAGCCTGCAGAACTACGACGGAGAGCCATTGGGAGACTAGAGGCAGGATAAAGTCAAACAGAAGTGGCCAGATGGCTAAATGTGAGTCCTTCTGTGGTTCATAGACTTTGAGGGCGATTTTAAATCACAGATTCGGTCTCTAGGAGGTTCAGCCAAGGACAGCCAAATGCTACGACGAGCGCCGATGACCGATATTTGACATTATGTGCACGCGGGAATAAAAGCGCTACTCCGATTCTTCTTAGATCCTCCCTTGCTGCAGCCACCGGAAGCTCCCCCCCTCTTCCCCTATCACCAACCTCTGGAGAGAACTTTCTGTTCGCCGTGTGTTTTGAATGTCCCCATGCCTCACGTCCTATACGCTTACGAAACAATTTGCTTCTCCATGCCTTCTCCGGGATTCGAGCCCGGGCCCATCGGCACGGCAGTCAGTGTCAACAACTACTATACCGGCTGGGCGACAACAAGAGAATCTTTGCTTTCTTTGCTTTTCACTTTGCAACATACTATTCACATCATTTATTGTCAGTTTCTGATTGTGTTCTATTATCACCATTCGCTTGCATTCTTTCAATGGGGTTCTTCTTGTTGGCACAGTTATTCTATTTGGCAAAGATCGCTACCAATATTTTGCAGTTGTTTCATTATCTTGCTTATGTTTTCTCTTGGTCGTTTTGTTTTAATTAAAAACGTTTTAAAAGGTAGGAGGTTTGTTGGGCATCTCATGTGATTTTCTTCTATAAGATATATTTCTTCCACAATTAAATACATAATAGTCGAGGGTCATCCCTTTCTCCACATACGCATGTATCTGTGTCTGTGTTGTTTCTTTTGAGAAAGTATATGGGAAAGGGCCGTGCCCGTCGTATAGTAGTTCAGAAATGGGTTGCTATGTAGTTCTTTTATGTTGACCTTTGAGATTAAGTCATATAGTCTTCTCCCTTGACTGGCAGTGTCCCATTCCTTTTGCCATAGAGCTTCTCCGATTTTTTTCTAATTTATCAGATCAACAGAGAAGTTTTATAAAATCACAATATGAAGATATAGAAAATTCATTTTTCTAATCTACCGTTTGGTTTCGTTTATTTGATTATGACAAAGCACCCAAAGGCTATCTGCCTAAGGGAAGAGATGGTTTCATGGAAGACTTTCTAAGGGAAACTGTCTCCTATACATTTACAAATGGAGAGAAACACAGAAATGCCCATGAAGCGAGCCTATTCGCTGGGATCCGACCTCCGAACCGAACTACCAGTGTTCAACAACTTTACATCCCAGCCACTGGTGGGCCCTTCTAATTTGTGCTGGGACACAGAAAATTCATTTTTATAAAATATAAGTGTTCAATATTAAACGCCTTACTAAATTTCGGAACTTTATTCTTTGTGTATTAAACTGTAATTGTGTCTTGCGTACATCTTAAACAGTTAAACTAATTTCTGTGTTTTAATAATGATATTTTATCTCTTATAGAAATATTCTGCAGAGGATCTGAAAAAGTTGTGCTCGAATGAAATACAGCAAATGTCTAATGAAACTATATTAGCTGTAATAGCAGGTAATTGTTTTTGGTTTTAAGTTGAGCAAATTTGTACAAATTAACATTCTTAATTCTTGATTTAATTTTATCCATCGTATAACAATGCCACTTACGTTGTGGCTGAAGTAAGCTACCGGCCGAAATAGTTGCTTTGGTCTGTAATGTCAGAGGTTAGAATAACAGAATATACGCATGAATGAAATCATTTTTTTAGTGAACAAAAAAAAAAAAAAAAAAAAAAAAAAAATGCTTCGTAAAGAAGTTTGGACTTATTAAAATGGTAGGCCTTTACTGTTTATCTCGGTTGATTATGCGGATATTCACCAGTAGAAAAATTTGGAGATGAGTGATGTCCGTTTGTGACTACTGCAAGTTGTTGCCGGACGTCTAAAATTGAAGAATACTATGACGGGAAACTATTCAAGGGCGCATGTAAATACAATGGTCTTAATCATCTTTGACTCTGCAGGAACGAAATTCACTTCGTGGATCGTGGAGTTCAACTGAAAAAGATACAAAATAATTGGGAAGCGTTCAATATGGAACTGCGCTAGCTGCAGCATTCATATTCGCGTCAACAGCGAGGAAGACACTGTTGTGCTTCTAATGTACTTTTAACGCAAAATTTCAAATAATGTTTAAATTCCAGAATAGCTGCCGTTTCTTATTCAAGATACTGTGAATCTGTTTCTTGAAGAAAGACTTTGAATTTGGTAGAGGAAAACAAAGATGAGAATGTCTGAGTATTTCTAACCAATTAATCATCGAATTGTTTCTTGAAAATACCCATGTGCGTAGTTTCATTACAAATGAAATGTAATGCTTTTATTTTTCAATGTAAATCCTTTCTTCGTACTTTCCACTGACGTTAAGTCATGGCTTTTATTCGCCAAAGGCTGTCCATAAATATAACATGAATTTGCAAAAGCCTGGTTCACAGCCCGTTGGATTGTTTGGAGTTCGTCTTGGTATGAATTCTTTCGATGTAATCCTCGTGAATCGTATAAATATTAGTTTACTTTTTCAAATGACACAGGAAATTCTTTCTATCTCAATTAAAATACTTTGTCCTGTGTACACTTTCTGTCCTATCCGTAAAACAATGTGACGGAATGAGACATCATGCGGATTTATTTAACCACTAGCCTGCCACTTATTTGTTGTAATAGTTTGTTTTGCAATATGTTTGGTTAATAATTTTCAAACTCAGTGGCGAGAAAGAACTTCTCCCACAATTCTGTTGCCAAAAGAATGCATCTAATTCGAAGTACTTTACATTTTATCCTCTTTTTATATCATCATAAATAAAAAATTACTATTTACTAGGTTTTGCGCAGAACAGATTGTACTTGTGATGAGTGAAAGAAATACGAACTCATACTTTGCTTAATTGTTTATATTTTATATTATTTATTGTACTGTATTCCGCAATGTGACTCTTAGTAGAAAAGCAGTTTTAATAATAATTTGATAACTAGTTCGCAAGAAAGAGATGCCCCATTCCCTTCTATTAAGTGAAGAAGATTTTTTCAATTTTTTTGCACACGTGTTATGTGTTGAATTTGAGCAGTCCTTTAATTTATATATTTAATAGCTTTTACAAGGAAGCAAGTTTGAAAATAAGGTTGTGCTTTAACCGCTTGTTGTTGCCTAGAAATCATATTCATGTTTTCTATTTGTAAATTGTAACTTGTATATAAATTATTCTTGAAGATGTGGTAATGTTGAATTTTCAACATTGGACAACGGTCTAACGATCTTCTTGAACTTCTGTTAACGATTACTAAGGCATATCTAGGAAAACCTGAATTATTACCTACCTTGGTCTAGAAATGCAACTTATGTTTTACTATTTGCAAATTTTAACTTATGGTTTATGAATCATTGTTGAAGGTCTGGTAATGTTTAATTCTCAACATTGGACAACGATCTATCAGTCTTCTTGAAAGTATTAAAAATTACTAGGACATATCATGGAAAGCCTAAAGTATTAACTTCCTTTAAAGTTAATTGATGAAAGCAGTAAACTGTTGGTCAAAACAGTCCAACAACATATCCGAATTTAGGTATTATTATATATATATGTATATCAAAATTATAATTTAATACAGTATGACGCTAAAAATATTTTTTTCTGCTTTATAATACAATTTTCTTGAAGTTTTCTATGTATGACTCAGCAAAACCGTGCTCTGAATTTGAATAATTTCGTTTTGTTTCTACGTCAGTAGCTTTATCTCTGCAAGTACACGATACCGTTTTTCAAAAGTTAGTAATTACGTTCTTCACATCTGTATGTATGCAACTTCATCGGCTTCTGCAGTAAAGAAAAGTCAGTTAGGAACAAGGTAGTTTTGGTTGACTATTTTTCTTAAAAATTCCAGATACTAGACAGATATTGTTTACTTTATATTTATAAGCATATTTTGAAATGGTTAGTTTCAGTGCAATGATAAAACTAATTACAGCCTCATCGCGTAGTCTCTTTCAGTGGGCTCACGTGCTCACACAGTTGTCTATAAAGCAACATATCGGGGGCGGGGAACTATTCGAAATTTGGCAAGACACAAATTTATAGCACGAAGATAACACTTCTTGACGTTACAAAGTCTTGATTTACTTTCATTCATCTCCAGCCATTGAAACAAATACATTAAACGGAAAATATTGATGAATAAAAGCTAATGCCGATTTCTACATTTACATGTTTTCTGATTATGATCTATTCCAAAATATCAGAGGATTATTTGTTTTTTAGTCCCTTTCCTATATTTTTTGCAATTAATGTAATTAAGTCTAATATATTTTAGGAAAAGAATCATCAGTTTGCAGAGAAACTGAAGACCAAGAAAGCGTAACGCAAGATAAACCTGAAAAAACAAGTAATTTTGCTATTTTAATTCTCCATATAGCAACTTATCATTCATGTGTTACAACTTTTTGTTGTTTTTATCAGCTCAGTCTTATTTCTGATGCCGTAAAGCATTTGGATATTCTTCTCTTAACTGAAAATCTATTTGACGCTTGTTGTAACTCAATAACATGTAGAAAATTTAAAACTGTTCATAAACTGCTGTAAATTACATAAAATTAATAAGCTTATAAAAGTAGAAATTCTTCATTTTGAGCAAATGATAAATTGCTAAGAAAGCTAATCCTATAAATATTTCATGCCAATAAAATTTTGTGGGGAATATTAAAATGCGGAAAAATCGTTTAAAAAATCTTTGTGTAATTTTACTTTGAGTGTGTGTGTTTGCTTTGTGACTATTTACCACTTTCTGGAATTCTTTATTTTTCCTAATTAAGGAGACTTGGTACCTTTTGAATGATTTTTTTTTATTCAAAAACTTTCATCTAATTTTTATGAATAATACTAGCAGCTTCGCTGCCAGCCTTCGTCTTTCGTTTAAATGTACCGGAAAAATGGCTGAAGGGAACACCAAACGTTAAATTTAAAACTGCGTAGAATTTTACTCTGCAGAACAATTTCATAAAAAAAGTTATTACATATAACAAAATTACAATGAAATAAGCAATATCCCTTAATACAAATTGTTCGGTGTCTGAAAGAGTATTGCTTGGCAGAACTGTTTTACGCCAAGCAGAGTTTGGCTTTAGTGTAACCCTAAAGTTATTTCGTTTTTGCCTTATTAGTATGTATGATTTCTGACTTGATGTAAGAGCATATGGATGCTCGCTTTTAGCTAAGTTACATAGGTAACTATAAGCACATGCGTGTGCTAGTATTCTATAATGTGGTTTTTGTTAAAATAAGTTTGTTATTGTTAATATTACAGTCCACTTACTGAAATTAAGTTCCATTAAATAAGTTGGAGCTATCTTCGGCAGGAACACAAATATTAATTATCCCAATAAATAAATTAACCAACTTCCCTTTGCAAAATCTTAAGAACTCAAATAGTATAAAGGAGGTTAAGAACTTTGTTTCCTAAAAAAGTCACTCAAAACTTTTCACTATCTTAAAAACAGTGAAATGAGCAATAAATAACATAAAAGAATACAAAAAAACAAAAAATTCAGAAACGCAAAGTATAATTAACGATATTTTATCTTATATTTTCAAGAGAAAAAGTTGCAATGAAATAGGCTATATCCCTTAATACAAATATTAATTATCCTAATAAAACATTAACCAACTTTCCGTTGAAGGAAAAAAATCATGCAAAACTTTTGAATGTCTTACAAACAGTGAAATAAGCAAAAAATAACATGAAAGAAAACTCAAAAAACAAAAATTTCCGCGCAGAATTTTACTCTACAGAACAACTTTATTAAAAAAAAAAAAAAAAAAAAAAAAAAAAAATCAATAGAAATGTATTATATATTATATAAAAAAACGACTATGAAATATGCAAATCTCTTAAAAACAGTGACATAATATATACGATGAAAATTGTTGTCAAACCCATATTTCTAAAAAAATGAAACTATTGAAAATGATGCGATTTCGTCAAAAATCTATCAGCAACAATAAGAACGGAAAATTGTTCCCAAAATCACATTTTTAAAGATGTGAGATTTTTAAAGATCGAGAGCTTCATTTAAAAATTGTTTTAAAAATACAAAATATTATCATTTTTCCAAAATTCTTTTTGTAAAAGTAGTCGCAAGGTTGAAAGTTTAACGTTTCCAAAAATCAAAGAAAGATAAACTGTACATTTTTAAAAATAAACTTTTATAGAAAAAAATTCCGTTGAAAAGGTGTTAAGCTCACTTTGTTAAATAAATTCGTATTTAATCGATTTCTTGAAACATGAAATTTATTTTAAGTTCGTAAAATAGCTAAGTGCCTACGTTTCATAACGATGTGAAAATGGAGTTTGCAGAGTAAAATCTTGCTTTCCTATAGCCCATTATGTCTCAAAATGACGCGATTTCGTCACAAAAACATAAAATAAAAAATAAATAAATAAATAAATAAAAAATTCGAATTTCGAAAAAATCGCTTCGAGATGCACTGGCTCTTGTCTAGATGCACCTATGTACCAAATTTCATAGCCGTGGATCTATTAGCTTACGCGCAGCGCGAACGAAAGATACACAGACAGACTCTTTCTTTTATTATACGTAGAGATTAAGTGCTTTTCATAAGGCAAAATAATTTTAAGCTGAAAAAGGAATTTTTTGCTCGTAATTTTTTTAATTTAAATTTTTTGAAGAAAAATTGTATATTTTTTTTAAATAATAATTATTTTTTGAAGAAAAATTTAACAAATACAAATTCTTTCTTTTCCCACAATTTTCAATGTTTTTGCCCCAAATTTCTTTATTGTATTTATTAGAGTGTTCTAAATAACTTTATGGATCGATTTTACAATTAAAGAATTAGTTTCTGAGAAAAAAAGTAAAAAGCACATTTTTATGTAAAAACTTTAAAAAAAAGTATGATCTCAATCACATTTTCACTTCCAATTATTTTTCTTTTCACTATTTTGCAAAGCCCATCCTTATTTCTATTAAGTATATAATTTAAATAAGCAGTGAAAATATTAAATAATTTAGTCCATATCTATACAAGTTTTAGGACTTTATCTATACATATCTATACTTTTTGTAAAAGGACTTGGCTATTGTAAAATAAATAAAAGGATATATTGAAAAAATGCAAACTGAGAAAACGCAGTTTAAAGAATGTAAACTGTCTGAATGGCCATTAAATCATTTCAAATTTCTTAAAAATTTTAAATTAAATTACTAAATTTCAATACACACACGCACACATTATATATATAATAAAATTTGGTACTGTTCATTTGGTTGGTATAAACATAAATTACAAGCTTTTGTTTAAAACCTTATCTGGCTAGAAGTATTGCAAAAGAAATCATGAAATGCAAGTAAAATATTTCTTTACCTGTTTTTATTTCTTAAAACATGTCCAAAACAATTTTAATTCATGAATTAATTATAATATATTTTCTAAAAACTTATAATCAATATTAATAATATTAATTTGTCGTTTTATTCATTTATCAAAAAGCAAAATTTGAAATTTGAACAGACATAAAAGATTTTATTTAAAACCATTCAGCGGCATATGTGATTTCTTCTCTTCTTTTAGCCGTTTGTTTTCGTATATAAATTACATTTTAAATTAATTTAGGTGTATTTTACTTAATTAAAGGGTTTAATGTTTGTTCCAGCAATATTTCAATAAGCTATAGTCAGGAACTTGATCACTTTCATTACACCACCTCTTTCTGTTCATGTCTTTTCACAAATAATTTCAGTATTTGTAGAAGCATATAACAAAGTTGACTGATAATACACATAGAAATTTGCTGAGCTCAATATATATATCAATATAATATATATATAAATTTGCCAGTTTAAAATAGGGAAAAATAGTGAAACAAATATTTTTCCAACTTTGTATTTAAATAAATCAGTTTATACGCTTAAACAGAGTATGATGATAGTTGCAGTCATATTTAATTACACTCCTTTTCATTTACACAGACTTTTAATAAGTTACTGAAAAAATTAAGATGTAAAAAAGTAAGTACTGAGAGGGTGTGACATTTAAAGGTTTGTCAAAATTTTTAAAAGTCTTTTTATGCCATTTATCATCGTTAGATCATTTCAAAATTTCTCTTCAGTGTAGTAAGGGTATTAAGGTATTTTGCTAGCAAAATATTGAAAAATTGGTAATTTCATCGATTTGGGGGTATCGAGTCCCAGTAGCCACATGCGGTTTTTTTTTTTTTTTCTAAAACTCTATTAATTTTAAAACCTCAACTACTGGCTGCTCAAACAAAGAAGCTATGAGTATTTTTGTGTAAATATGTAACCTTTTTCCAACAAATAGTTTTCGCTCATTGTTAAAACAAAATAACTATTTCTTCATGTGCAATACGTATTGAGGTAGTATTCTATATTTTTAAAATTCCAGACTTTGCTTTGTGGGGCGATCTATACCTCAATGTGTTCCATTGTCTGTATTTGTTCAAATGTATCGTGCTTGTATTCATATTTACTCCAGTAACTGGTACACTAAGCGGTCCATTTTGTATTTTTGAAATCGTTTCAATATCAAGGATACGAATTTCATGTTTCAATTTAAGTGCCGTTTGGAAGTCTCTGGAAATTCCAAACGGCACTTAAATTGCTATTTGTTAGTATACATAATAAAAGCCCATTTATTATATTTTGAGCGTGTAAATATTTCTTTGCTATCGTAGTAAGACGCAGTAATTCTTCGGGTGTTTTTTATGAATAACAAAATGTGCGTTGTGAGTCAGATTCTGAAACTTCTGCCGCTTATGGATTGCTTATAATTCTGCATGAACATCTTTTTAACATTAGCAGTGCAGGTCAGGATTTTTATACATATCTATATGCTGTAAAAATACCTTTTTATTCTCTGTAAAAAAGGGCTTATATATCGACTATACAGACTTGTTCAATGTTGGCTGATTATGTTTGCCATATACTTCACAGAAAAGTGGAAATTGCTATTGCCCAAGCAAAGCAGTATCTTTTTATATCACAAATACCATCGAGTGTTCTTGGGTAATGTTTTCAGGTTTTTATCAAACAAAAATGTATTTCGGATACATTGGCAGGATAATAGTAAACTGTCTCCAGCACAACATGGCGTTTCATCCGAACCCCAATGCATTACTAATTGTTAAAATTAATATCATACTCCACAAAACAATGGGTTAACTAACAGCATCTGTAACCAATCCTTTAACATAAACTGTTGGACTAACTGTGACAACAAGTCTGCCCTCTAGTGAGTAGCCAGAGAAGTACTTCAGTAAAAGCCAAGGCTCCCACTTGATAGGTTGTATCCAACTTTTGCTCTGTAATTTTCTTAAAGTTAAATTTAATGTTCGTGTGTAACTTAAACCTG